TTTAACCTCAATTATTTAACCTCAATTGTTTAAATAATAATAATTTCATTTAATATTTTTATGAATTTGTATTAGATAACCTCATGTGTCTTTATCATTTTGTACACATTTGTACATGGATTATTAATGTTTTATAAAGAATTATATGTGAATACTTACTCTTAACATGTGTAATAATTCTTCTTTACTAATTCCAATTCTGTCTCTATCTGCACTGTCTACCACATATATAATAGCATCAGTATTTGAATAATAACATCTCCAATAAGGTCTTATACTAGTTTGTCCACCGAGATCCCAAACTTGAAATTTCAAGTTTTTATAAGTGACTTGTTCTACATTAAATCCTATCGTAGGAATCGTAGTGACTACTTCTCCAACTTGTAACCTATACTTGACAATAAATTATTATTAAATTTATAATTTGCAGCAACATAAAACTTTTTTATATAAATAAGTTATGAAGAGAGAAAGAAAGAGAGAAAAAAAACTCACCTATATAAAATTGTCGTCTTTCCAGCACCATCTAAACCCAATATTAATATTCTCATTTCTTTACTTCCGAATAAGTTTTTAAAATAACTTAACAATCCACCTGAAAATAATAATAATAATAATTTGAATTAAAAAATGAATTCCTTTTATTATTCAATTTAATATTAATATTTAAAATCACAAAAAAAAAATAATAATAATCATTATGTTGAAACAATGTTATGTTTATCAAATAAAAAGTTCAGATTTAATAAACTTATGTAAAATAAAATAATGAGAGACAGAGATAGTTTGTAAAATAAATATCACGTAATTATTATTGTTAATAATTAAAAATACTTTTAAATAAACAATTATTATTAAAAAATATTTTCAATACATATATTATTATCAATGAGTTGAGTTAATGGATGGGCAGATTTAAAAAAAAAAATTTTCTCAAAATTATTTATATAAAAAAAAAAAACACTTACCCATTGTTTTATTTAACTATATTATTGATACGTATGTAATAATTTTATTTTAACTTATTTATATAAATAATGTAAATTAATGAGTGAAAAAAAAAAAAAATTTAAAAACAAATGAATACGGCATAAACTATCCATAAATCCAAAATGGCAGTAAATACGTGTTAGAAATCATGGCGGTTGTTTCAAAATATTTGACACGTGAGAATTATAAGGGCGCAAGTGAATACGACAACGCGGTTTAAATAAATCCTTTTGAATAAATTTTTAATTACTCTAATTTAGAGTAAATAAACCGACGTAAGAAAGCCGGTAAGAAAATCAAATTTAAAAATAATTGAACATGTCAAATTAATAAAAGTAAATAAAATAAATTTTACGCGAATTCATTACAAAAAAAAAAAAAAACTTTTATAAATAATTATTTTTCCACCAAATAAAACCGTTATTTTTTTATTTATTTAAATAATTTATTTAATTTATTTAAAAAAAAAAATTTATCTAAAATGAACACTAAATATATATAGATTATAGAAAAACATTTTTTATTAATATTTGTTATAAATATTTTATTTAAAAAAAAGTTTTATCGATTATATATTATTATTATTATTATTTAATTACAAGAATATTTTTTTAAAATGTCGAAAAGTTTCTATTATTATTATTATTATTTAAATAAACAAATGTCATTCTGCTATTATCGTTAATAGGGTTTTTATCAGGAGGCTCTTTACTACTACCAAAAAAATTATTTATTTATTTTTTTTGTTTGTTAAATAAATCACAGATTTTAAATAAACTTTGTTGTTTGTATTTTATTTTGGTACGTAAAATAATAATAATAATCATATCCTCTTTCCCTCCCCTCTTTTCTCCTTCCCTTCCCTTCCCTCCCCTCACTCCCTCCCTAACTCCATACCTTCTAACCTATTAAACAAATCAAATTGAATTTATTTTAAATTATTATTATCATTATTTTAAAAAAAGGGTTTTCTCCCCCACAATATATATATATATATATATATATAATACGGTTAATAAAAAGCGACAATAATAATAATAATAATAATAATAATATTTAATATGCATTGAATTCACTACAATTTTTTTAAGCGATAAAAAATTTTTTTTTTCTTTTTTTTATTTATTTATTTATTTATAGTAAAAAAATGATCACGTGATTTTTACAGAAATTTTTTTTTTAATGTCAAAGAAGCACGACCGATATATATATATATATATATATATATATATACATATATATATATATTATTAATAATTAATTATTTATTTATTTATTTTTTTATATTAAAACCAAAAAAAATTTTAAAGTTAACTATGAAAATTTAGACAAATTATTAACAGAGCATTTTTTTTTTGTTAAAAAGGCGTTTATTATTTTATTTTTATTTTATTCAAAATAATTAAATAAATTAAATAAATAAATAAAAATGATATAAATTATTATTATTATTATTATCAATAATTTTTTCCTCGTTTTTTGCTTTTTTTTTTTTTATATATAAAATTTGTTTAAGTAAAAACATTTATTTCATAAATTATTATTATTATTATTATTATTAATTATCTAATCAATATTTAAATTTTTAAAAACATTTAAAAAACCATAAAATCAATCAATCAATCAATCAATCGATCGATATTACATTAATAATAATAATTATTATTATTATATTTGTGACTTTATATTAATTAAAAAATATTTTAACGACAAATTTTACATTATTTAAATTACTATCATCATCATCATTATTATTATTTTATTTATATACATAGAAAAATAAGCTTTTAAAATTTCGTAAAAAAAAAAAAAAAAATTATTATTATTATTATTATTTTATATAAATAATACGTTTTTATTAAAAAGTTAATAATAATAGTAATAATATTAATACTGTTTTTTTTTTTATTTGTAAATTTAATATTTTCACGTTCAATGTAATACAATTATTAATGTCATTAATAATAATGATAATAATGATAATGATAATGATAATGATAATAAAAAGAAGAGTAAAAACGATTTTTTAATGCATCATAATCGAGTTTAAACATACTGATAATTATTATCTTTTTCAGGAAGCAAAGGTGCTATTTCGATTTTTTCTATTAATTGATACTGCGTCATCCAATCCGTGTAATCCGGATTGAACAAACCGAAACATCTTATCCCGAGGAGGTCGATTATGTTTTGACAAGGACCGTGATCGAACGGGCTTTTGGTTGATTTGACGTCGTTGACCGTGTGAAAATGTTTGTACCTTCCCACGTTCATTCTCTCGTTCGTTGTCATACCCAGGCAAGAAATCTTAACAAAAAAAAAAATTAAAATAATGATGATTTAGTTTCCCTTTTGAATTTTTGCGGTTAATACGATTTCGCGACCTCGCATGCACACCTGATACATTTGACAGCATAAAAGACTCGCGACCCAAACGGAATGTAGTAGAGCGTTAACTGCGACCCACGATACCCAACCCTCGCAAGACAAGCAATCTCCTACGGCCGTCCAAAAACTTTCCGATATCGGAGTGATTTTGCACACAGCGTTCCAATACACGGTCGCTCCGTGAATGACTAAAACGCACATGACTAATAACATACATAGGTAACCTATAAAATATTTGTGATTTTTTGCACCTGCAATGTAAAAAAAACAAATAATATTAATAATAATGATGATAAAACCCGAATAAAATCAATGAAAATCGATGACGAAACAAACGCACCGATGCAATTTCCGACCCACGGACAATGATGATCAAATTTAGCCACGCACCTATTGCACATGGCGCAATGTTTTGATCGTATGGGTCTCCGTACGAGACACGTGCTGCAAAACCATTGACGTTCAAATCCATCATTTTCAGCCAGTTCGATAATTGTCTGAAACAAACAAACAAACAAACAAAAAATTATCACACCCGTTATATTTTTTCCAACCATTTAAAAATAATAATAATAAATTTTAATTCACCCTAAATTTTTCTTCTTGAGTATACGTTATGACTCCCGGATCACCTTTCCAGGATTTAATAAAATAAAACCATAATAATAATGAAAATGATATGAAAATAACGGATAGTAAAATGGAACATTTCGGAGCTATGTATAAACACCAAGTTATGTACATCCAAAACTGAAATCAAAAAGAGAGAGAGAGAGAGAGAGAAAATGAAAATGTCAGTGAGTGACGTCATGCCTCGTCGTCGTCGTATTTTCCTTTATTCGTTTACCTTTGTGGCCAAATACAAAGACATGGGTAAAACTGTTGTAAGCCTGTCGTCGAAAAAAACTTTTCCAGCGAAATATATGAAAATGTAAAACACCAATATAAGTCCTAATTTAACTAGATAATCTTGATTTGATTGCATAACTAAACCAACAATATAAAAACCTATAAATGGAGTAGCTAACATACACCAATAACGAAGTCTCTGGAAAAAAACAAAAAAAAATTGTCAATATTTATGATAAATAATACCTCTAATGATAATAATACTTATAAGTACCTACCTTGTCTCTTATTAAACGTTTTAAAAAAAATTCCGAACTAGGTACGTCTTCTTGAATTTTTTCCAAAACTTTTTTACCAACCCAATTCGGAGTTTTGTCCTTTGAAATCATGCTAAAAGGAGTAAATCCCTAAACAAAAAAAAAAAAAAAAAAACAGGAAAAAAAGGTCAGATGGGTAAACATATACAATGTTGACAACATGTATGTCTTCACAACATGGAGTCGAGATTATATATATATATATAAAAATAAAATGAACCTGATTGTTTGGAATATGAAGATCGGCACCACTCATGACTAAAATATTAACTGCAACATGATTTTTAGCTTTAATTGCCCAATGAAGAGCCGTATTCCCATAAAATTTATCTTGAGCTCCGGAGCATGCACCCAATGTGAGCAATAACCGAGTAGGATCCAAACTGTAAACATCACACCTGGTTAAAAAATGGATTAAAATAAAAATTTTAATAGTTTTCCTCCACCCAGAAAAATTAGGCTTGCTTTTGTCCTATTGCATGATTTTTTTTTTAAGAAAAAAAAAAAAAGCAAAAAGCATTTTTAAGCTGGGCTAAGGAAATGTGTTATTAACTGAGTCACCTCGAAACTTTATATGAACTCCACATCAAAGGTGTCATCCCATATTTGTCTTGTAGATTTGGACTCAAACCTTTTGCAACTAGATATGCAACAATTGCTGTGTGACCAAATTGAGCTGCTAAATGTAAACAAGAACAACCTTCTCCATCTTTTAACGATGGATCAGCTCCAAATTTCATTAATAATGTTACAGATTGTAAATAACCCTGCCTGTAATGATAAATATGTTTATTAACAAAATTTTTTTTTGTAAAAACAAAATCATCAGTTAAAAAAAATTTTACCTGGTAGCCCAATGAAGAGGTGTCGATTGTAATACACCTCCTATAGCATCGACAACTGCTCCTAACTCGACAAAATATTTTATCAATTCTTTTCTGTTGTTAATGGCTGCCCAGTGTAGTAGAGTGACAGTTTCTGAATCAGGTTGATTTACATCATATCCTGCCTCTATTAATTCTATAATTAAAATTAATTGATTAAGTTAAATTTTTAAAAAAAAACTTTAAAAATTTTTAGTAGATGTTTTGTACTTTGATATGAAGTATTCATAGAAATTTATTTAATCACTAAAATTTTATCATAAAAAAAGTTAAATTTTAAAAATTTTAAGAAACAAAGTATTAAAATGAAAAATAATAACATTCAGGGAGTTAATGTTTAATTATTTAAAATAATTAATTGGAATTTATGAGTTAAATTTTTGTTTTAGGAAAAGTTGGTAAGGTGTTTATTTGAAAAAATTTTTAATTAAATTAAAGTTTATTAATAATTACCTTTGACTCTATTTAATGCACCAAACTGAGTTGCTTTAACGATATCCAAATTACTGTGATCGACTTCTTTAGAAGCATCTATTTTTTCTGCCGGCTCTTGAAAAATGACTGATGTATTTCCATAATCATCTGCACATCCCCCATATTTAATAGTAGATCCTGCAGAACAAGAACCCTGTAAATATAAATAAACAGCATTAATTCGATTAATTATTACTACGAAGATTTATTTTATTTCTCGAAAAACGTTTTAAAAATTCGCTAAAAAAGAAAAAGAAAATCATCATCATAAATTCAAGCGGTTATTTTTAAATTTAATAGTCAGTATCAAACTATAATCAAAAGATAATATTATAAAAGAAAAATACGTTAAAAAAAAAAAATAATTAACAAAATGAAATAATTATAAAAAAATAAACTCACCGACAGGGTTTGTAATTTTTCTAATTTGTTCATTTTAAATCGCCCTTTCTCATTTTATATGAAAAAATATAATAATATTGAAATCAGTCGCCATGTTTTTTTGTTATTGGTTCAATTGATTTCTCCTGCCACGATTTCATCCATTTTACGTCTTTTTATCATGACTATTCAAAGGTTGTCGTTTCCTCAGCGAACGGGTTTATCGTCAAATTTTTTTTTTTTTATAATGTAGTCGAATTAATTACTAACGCATGCCTGTTTAAAATTTGATATGTGTTTAACAGTTAATTGTTTTTATATTTTACAACATTATCTTGTTTTTGTAATTGGTGTATGATGAAATATTTTGTGAAAAATCTTTGGGCTTATAAAGTGGCTATTCGGTGGATGTAAGGTATGCGTACTTGTCTTTTCAAAAAAAAAATTTTTTTTTTTTTTTTCCCCCCGTAATACTTTTGAATCATTGTTACATTAAAAAATTTTACACATATGTAAAAGATTATTTAAAATTTGTCAATGTAAATAATTATTTTTATATACCGCGATCGAAATAGAAAAAAAGAAAAACATGATAAAACAATTAATTAATTTATACATATAGAGAAAACCCGCCATTTTATTCGTTAACAAAAACGAACTCGATTGGCATTTGGAGCACATGCAAATGTTATGTATATTTTTTTAAATGAAAAATTCATGTTAAAAAAAAAAAAAAATGAAATCAATTGTATCATTAATTTGTTCTTTGTTAAAAACGATTTATTTTATAAAGTAAAACGTGTCAATGGCTAGAGCGGTTCATCTCTATCCATATGTGGTCACATCAAACCAGTGGAATTTTTAGCCCCAGGCTATTAAGTCAAAACAAGGGACAGGTACTATTAAGTGTCCTGAAAACATTCCATTTAACAATCAACAAAACTTTATATATATTTTTTAATGTGATTCATCATTTTTTCTTTTTATATGAAATTTATTCAAATAATTTCCTTATATTTTAAATGATAAAAAATAAAAATCAATAACTCTGGTGTTTCGAATTCTGTACGAATGTGTTTAAAGCCATGTTTAATTCAAAAAGATTTCTCGTTTTCACATTAAAATAGTTTGGGGTTAAAAAAAAAAAAAAAAAGAGAAAAATTCTTTAAATGCTTCACATAAATTATTATTATTATTACTACTACTCGATAACTATTAAATGTGCATCGATTTAAACAATAAAATAGTTAAAAGGATTCGAGTTTTATTTTAAAAAATAATTTAGTTAATGTCATTTTTTTTCATCGAGTTATCATTTTTAATTTCCAAAAATTTATATATATATTTTTTTTTTTTTCACATTAAAAAAATGTTTTTGTCATAATAATAAAATAGTAATAATAATAATAATAATAGTAATAAATATATTTATTATCAAGTTGTTATTATGTGGAGCATCATCGTAATAAAATGTTTAAAATGTTATACAACCATTCGAATAAAATTTTTTTTTTTTTTAATGTAAAAATACTTAATAGTTTTAATAAATTAAATCTGTCAAATTCCTTTTTTTTTTTTTTTTCTTTTTTTCTCTCTCATCGAGGAGGAGGAGGAGGAGAAGGAAACATTTCGAAAGCATTTACCTACAGATTACCATTCATGCCTTAATTAAAAAAAAAAAGTTATGGAGTCCTTCGTATCATTTGGCAAAAAACAAAAGCACACACCAATCGATAAAGACTGTGATTGACTGATTGATTGATTGTTTGGAAATTTGAAAATGATTATGATATGACCAATCATTCGAAATGATTTCTCTTAAAGCTTTCTTAGAGCTTTGAACTTTTATCAACTTTTATCGAATTATTATTATTATTATTATTGTTCACAAAACTTTACAACATTTGCATTCATAATAGTTTTTTCCTTTTCTCTTTTTTTTTTTTTTGTTGTTGTTTTCACCATGCAAGTCACGTCGTCGACCCTATTTTTTCAAATTTTTTATTAATTTAATAGGCAATACAATGTGCGTGCGTGTGTGTGTGCGTGTGCGTGTATATATATGTATATATATTACGACGACTAAATTATTCCATCCGTGTTTCATTTCGATCTGGAAAAAAACAAAAAAAAAAAACAAAGATATCATTCAGGTCAATCGTTAAAGTCTCATCATCGATGTTGTTAATAATAATAATGATAATAATAATGACAACTTGCACACCTGCGTGAATGTAAAAAAATTATTATCGTCGTTTACGTTTATAATAAAAAATTTAAAACGATAAAAAAAAAAAAAAATTTTTTTTTTTTTTTACCTAGAATGTCGGAAACGGTGTTTGTTAATGTTAATGGATTATTATAAAAAAGGGTAAATAATAATAATAATAATTGGATGGGATTTCCTGTTGTACGTATATCACGGGGGTCAGTCAGTCGAGAGGGGATGGGGATTTTTTAACTTTAAGTCAAAACGTATTGTTTTAAATGAAAATAATAATAATAATAAAGACACGTGAACGAATGATGAAGTTAAAAAAATAAAAAATTATTCGAAACATAGGATGTAGGGCATAAATTAATAAGAGAGAGAGAGAGAGAGAGGTTAAAAATACATAATTCGAAAAATAAAATTTTTTTATAACCGAAAATAATAATAATAATAATAATAATAATAATAATAATAATAATAATTTTTCGAGTTTCATTGAAAGAATTTCACGTGGAGAAAAATAAAAAATAAATTTTTTTTATTAATTTAAACCGCAATAAAGAGCACATAATTCACAAAACAAAACACGAACGTTATTAAAACATTATTATTATTATCGTTATCATTATCATTATCATTATTCGTTTTTTTTTTTTAATACCGTGATTTTATTCTTCGTTTCAGTTTTTAGTCATCAAATCAAGGTTTTAAAATCAAAGATGGCACAACGAAAACATCGTAAAATTCATTGAAAGAAAAGGAAAAAAAAAAAAACGAAGTCAGGTATTCATTTTAGGTATTTTTTTTTTTTTTTTTTTTTTGCAATTTGATTGTGTCATTGAATTGAAAATAAAAAAAAAAAAAAAAGTTTTGTGGGATTCGTTTTGCTAAGAAGATTTGCTTGTTTGTGTGAAATACGAATTCGGCCTCGGTTTGTTTGTGTGCCTGTGCCTGTGTCCCCCCGGTACGAGTAAAATTTTGTTATTGTTTTTGCTAGAAATTAAGGTACGGTGGTGGTGGTGGTAGTGATGATGATTCGAATGGATGAGAGTTAGTCGTTACAAGTCTCGAATCCGAATAATTTTATCGTATGTAATAAAAACAGAAAAGAAAAGGAATTATTAATCAAAGAGTTTTTTATTATGCGTGTGTGTGTGTGTGTGTTTGTGCGCGTGCAAACTTCTGCAAATGAATTAGATTCTGTTCTCGGACGTTGAACGTCCTCCAGCCAAGATTAATCAACCTTCACAACGTTTAAATAGTAATAAAAAAAAAAAAATTTTTTTTTTTTTTTTTAATTTAAAATGTTTTTGTTGTTGTTGTTGTTGTTCTGGTTGTTCTTGCGATTGTCTGAGTACGATATTAATTATTTAATTTTTTAAAAGTTGGCAACATCGTCATCATCATTGTCATTTCGTAACGTTAATTATTTATTTTTTAATGAAAAACCGAAACAACATTTTTTGCATATATCGATTTGTTTCTGTGTTACAGTTATTATTATCATTATCATTATTATTATTATTAATATTATATTGCTTTGTAGAAGAAGATGGAAAAAAAAAAAATAAAATAATAACGATAATGATGATAAATAATAAGTTTTCTGCACAATAATTTTTTTTTTTTTTTTTCGAATCACGTTATTTTTTTTTTTTTTTTTTTTTGGTACGTCACGCGTCATCGTAAATTTTCTTTTTTCTCTCTCTCTTTCTCTCACTCTCTAGTCTCTCTAGGTCTGTCTCTTTCTCTCTCTTTCTTTCTTCCACGTTGAACGAAATCGATAGAAATAATTCATAATTTGGTTTGTTCATTGTTTAAATGTCATGAAAATTTTATTCGTGGTAGTAGTCGATGACGATTGGAAATTTTTTCTCTCTCTACCTCTTTCTCTTTCTGGTCAAAAAAGGACCAGGTGCAACAAACACGCGTTAAAAATGATAATAATTACAGGAGGTTTTTTTTTTTTTTTTGTAATCGAGTCCGATGATGGTGGTGGTGGCGTTCTTTCCATAACCGAAATAATATAGGATTTTAAATAGGAAATCCCCTCGAGGGATTTTTCTCTTCAAATCTTTCACGGATAGATGGGTAGATAGCCAGCCAGCTAGCTAGGTAGCTACCCATTATTATTACTCGGGGATTTCTCAATTTATATACATGCACGGTAGTAGTTAGTACCGGATTCGTTTTCTGGTTGAAAGATTTTTAAAAAAGTTTTTACTTTTTTTTTTTTTTTTTTTTTTTTTTTTTTCTATATGACTTACGACGACGACGTGACATGTCGTCATTTTTTTTCCCCGAAAAAATTTTTTATTCCATCTTTTTTTTTTTTTTTTTTTTTTTTTACACGAAACCAGTCCGACGTAGAGTAAAAAAAACACGTTCACGAGTAAAATTATGTGAAAATATTTTTTACTTTTTTTTATTGTTTTCTAAATAGAGAGAGAGAGAGGGGGGGAAGGGAGAGAGAGAGTGGTATAAAGAAAATTAACAAAAATGTCATTGTTTTAAAAAATGGGGGGGGGATGAACTGTTTTGAACTCGACGAACATTGAAAAAAATTGATTTGCAATGATAAAATTTTAAAATATCAACGTATACAAGTAGAATATAAAATTTTTTTTTTTTTTTAAACGCCTCGGAGTTTTATTATTATTATTATTATTATTATTATTATTATTATTATTATTATTATTATTATTATTAACATTATTATTAATTTGTCGCCATAAAACATAATAATTCGTTTCACACATTTCATTTCATTTCGTATTTGACACAATTAATTTTTAAGCCAAGTTTTGAAACCGGTTTGTATAAAACTGTGAAAAAGTAAAAA